GCAGTGTCACAGACAGTTTACTGATTAAATCAAACACATCACTACTGTTTAGAGCAGTGAGGTTGGGTAATGATGTTGGATGGTCAGTTCTGGAACTCCAACTCATCCCAAAGGTACTGGATGGAGCTCCATCACTCCAGAGAACACAGTTTTACTGCTCCACAGTTCAATGCTGGGGGGCTTATACCCCTCTAGCTGACGCTTGCCATTGGACATGCTGACCATAGGCCTGTGTGCAGATACTCCAGAGCGTCCCATTCTAGTCTGAATACTTTGGGCTGTGTATGTACTGGATATATGGTGTCCAATCATATGACTCCTTGAAATTAAAGCTCCATAGATGCAGATCAAGCATTATGTCTATGTTTATTAGAAGGAGGTTTAACTCTCCAGGCAGCTGTAGTTTAACATTATGTTTTTAATTTGCATAAAATGTGCAGGAAGCTGTGACTTTGAAATCTGGGGCTGGAGGCAGAAACGCTACAACCAATTATATTACACAACCGGACAAAACACTGTTTCTTATTCAAGTGGTTTCTCTTCTGTCCATCTTTGAATTTCTCCCCTGCAGCCAAGATGAAGGATGCATTTATGGAAGCCTATTTCTGTCAGAGAGGAGATCAAATCACTTGTTTTTATTTCTACTTTTCTGTTTCTGGCATTAGGACATCAAAACATTGGCTTAGTGCCTCGAAATAATGACATTTTCTCAAAATATTGACTTAACAGATCAGAACAATAATTTATTTTATATATATATATATATATATATATATATATATATATATATATATATATATATATGTGTGTGTGTGTGTGTGTGTGTGTGTGTGTGTGGGTGTGTGTTTGTGTATGTGTGTATTGTATGTATTGACTTACTATGACAATAAAATATAATGATGTAGGGTCTCTTAATAATGACTAATTCGTTATAAATCCAAATAAACTCCCTATTTTGACATAAAAGCTCATAATCTTGAGAAAATAAGTCATTATTTAAAAATACTATGTCAGTATTCCAAAGGAACACATAAGTACTTTGAAATATTAAGTCAGTATTTTAACACCATTATTTTGAGGTGCTAAGTCTACATTTTGAGAAAATGAGTCACTATATTGAGACACTAAGTTCATATTTTGAAAAATGTAGAATTATTTCCAAATGCTAAGTCAGTATTTTGAGAAAATAAGGTAAAATTTCAAGGAAATAAGTCAATATTTCAAGAAAATGGCAAAAATTGAAGTCAATATTTTATGAAAATAAATAATTATTTCAAGACATTAAGTTAAAATTTTAAGAAAAAAATATTTCAAAATGCTAAGTCAGTATTTAAAAAAAAAATAATGCAACATTTCAAGGAAATAAGTCTTTATTTTGAGAGGCAAGTCAATGTTTTGAGACACTAAGTAAATATTTTGAGAAAATATGCAATTATTTCAAAATGCTATTAGAAGGAAAATGTCTTTATTTTGAATATTTTGAGAAAACAAGTCTTTATTTTGTGATTCAACTTAGTATTTTGAGAAAATAATATTTTGAAGTGCTACGTCAGGATTTTGAGACAACAAGTTATTATTTTGAGACACTAAGTAAATATTTTGTTATTTTTAAAATGCTAAGTCAGTATTTTGAAAAATGAACAAATAAGGCAAAATTTCAAGGAAATAAGTCAATATTTCAGGAAAATAAGTCTTTATTTTGCGATACTAAGTAAATATTTAATTATTTTAAAATGCTAAGTCAGTATTTTGAGAAAAAAGGCAATATGTCAAGCTAATAAGTCGATGTTTCAAGAAAATAAGTCTTTATTTTGAAATTCAAGTCAATATTTTGAGAGAAAAAATCTTTATTTTCAGACACTAAGTAAATATTTAGAAAAAAATGTGCAATTATTTCAAAATGCTGTTAGTATTTTGAGAAAAAAAAGGCAAATTTCAAGGAAATAAAGTCAATATTTCAAGAGAATAAGTCTTTATTTTAAGATTCAAGCCAATATTTTGAGAAAACAAGTTATTTTGAGATGCTAAGTCAAGGCTGAGAAAAAAGGCCTTATTTTGAGACACTGAGTTAATATTTCAAAATACTGCTGGCAGAAACAGACAAAGAGAAAAATAAACCATAGGTGATGTTTTAACATCTATCAGATGGAAGTGGTTGTCCATACGTTTTATTTATGAGCAAGATTTATTCTATCACATATGATGAAAAATATTTGTGGACATGTTTGTGAAGTTCCTTTTTTATCAGAGCATTTATTTATTTATTTATTTATTTATTTATTTAATGCCAATTATTTTGTAAAATGTCTCCTGTGCTGATTTTCAGTGTCTTTATCTTGTGTGAAGGTCAAAGGGAAGGAGCTGAAGAAGCTGCAGTTCCTGCAGAAGCTGGGCAGAGCACTTATATTAGTTATTCCAGTTCATTCATACTGTGATCTAGAACATAGCATAACAGAGTGAAACTGAATTTATTACCACTTAAAGAGGGAAATAGTGGCATAATGTACCTTAAAATGAGGCTTCGTTCTAAATAGGGGTCATTTGTATGTATTCATTTATTGCCTTCAACTCGTCCAATCTGTTCTTACTGAAGCTGAATGAGATTGAATGGCGCTTTTATGAGCAGCTCAGGGTAATTATCTGAAGTGCCTCTCAGCTTTGAGATCAGCTCATGTGGTTTTACCAGTGTGACTGGCCAAGATAATTTGAGACATCTGGCCACGTGTGCGGTGTTGATCCGGTAGAGCAAGAAGATATAATACAGCAGAGATGTTCACAAATCACTGTGTGCATGAGGGAGTCAAGTCTCAAGTCTCTGAGGTCCACGTTTGAGTCAGTTCTTGAGTCTGTGAGGTGCAACTCAGATTCAAGTCTCGAGTTTTATGAGGTGCAAGTTTGAGTCAAGTCTCAAGTCTCTGAAGTATGAGTCTGAGTCATGACTAGAGTCTAAGTCAAGTCTGGAGTATTTGATGTGCGAGTCCAAGTCATGTCTCCAGTCTTTGGGGTGCAAGACCCACTCGAGTCTTGAGTCTCTGAAGTATGAATCCGCGTCAAATCTTAAGTCTTTCAGATGCAAGTCTGAGTCAAGTCTCAAGTCTCTGTTGTGTGAGTCTGAGTCAGTTCTTGAGTCTCTGAGATGTGAGTTCAAGTCAAATCTCGAGTTTCTGAGATCTGAGCCTGAGTCAAGTGTTGAGTCTCCAAATCAAGTTTTGAGTCTCTAAGATGTGAGTTCAAGTCAAGTTTCGAGTCTCTGAGGTGCGAGTCTAAATCAAGTCTTGAGTCTCTGAGATGTGAGTTCAGGTCAAGTTTTGAGTTTCTGAGTAAGTCTGAATCAAGCCTTAAGTGGCACTCTGAGTCAAGTCTCGAGTCTAAGAAGTGCGAGTCCAAGTCAGGGCTGAGTCTGAGTCAAGTCTGGAGTATTTGATGTGCAAGTCCAAGTCATCTCTCCTGTCTCTAAGGTGCAAGACCCACTCAAGTCTTGAGTCTCTGAAGTCTAAATCCATGTCAAGTTTCAAGTCTCTGTGTTGTAAGGCTGAGTCAAGTCCAGAGTCTCTGAGGTGTGAGTCCAAGTCAAGTCTTGAGTCTCTGATGTGTGAGTCTGAGTCAATTTTCGAGTCTCTTATGTGTGAGTTCGAGTCAATTCTCGAGTTTCTGAGATGTAAGTCTGAATCAAATTTTGAATCTCTGTGTTGTAAGGCTAAGCAAAGTCTTGAGTCCCAGTCAATTCTTGAGTCTCTGAGGTGCGAATCTGAGTTAAACCTCAAGTCTCTGAGGTGTCACTCCGAGTCAAGTCTTGAGTCTAAGATGTGTGAGTCTGAGTCAAGTCTGGAGTATTTCATGTGCAAGTCCAAGTCATGTCTTGAGTCTCTTGGGTGCAAGACCCACTGCAGTCTTGAGTCTCTGAAGTGTGGATTCGTGTTGAATCTCAAGTCTCTGATGTGTGAGTCCAAGTCAATTCTGGAGTCTCTGAGATGTCCAAGTCAAGTCTCTGAAGTGTGATCCCAAGTCAAGTCTCTAATCTCTGAGTCTAAGTTGGGTCTCGAGTCTCTGAGGTGAGTCCAAGTCAAGTCTCAAGTCTCAGAGGTAGGAGCACAGGTCACATCTTGAGTATCTGGAGTGCTAGTCCAAGTCTAATCTGAGTCTCTGAGATGCAAGTCTGATTCAAGTCTTTCATCTCTGGGGTGCAAGTCTGAGTTTAGTGAACTATGCAGCGAAGTTAAGTCTCAGGTTGTTATTATTAATTAAGCTAAAGCTGCTTTATTATTTATACAGAATGCACTGCAGCACAAACAATTCAGGGCACAGCCTTATATTATGGCCTCAATTACAGCTCACTGTCTGGGATGGCAATGGCTGTGTGTTTGGGCACCTCAAGTGGACAAAAAGATTTTTTTTCTTCATCTGAGGTCTTGAAATGTGCACCTTGAATATTGTATTTTCTGTATTTCTGTATTTTGTAGTCCAGATTTAAACAACAAGCATGTAGAACATTGTGAAACATGGTGGTGGGAGTATCATGTTTTGGGGCTTTAGCCAGTATAGACAGAAATATCAAGATATTTTGGCACAAATCCTGCGGGCCACCAGGTATAAGTCCAAACGTGAATCAATAGTTTTATGGGGTGTTCGCACACATGTGCAATCGCTGTGTTTTAATTTTTTTTCAATTATTTTTCCTAATAACTGTCATTTTCTTTTGTCGGATGCAACACCATATTAAAGGTGGAAACTGATGTCAAATCTGGCATGATTTATCTTGATTCTGGCTTTACACCACAAAAACCTGTAATTTCTATAAATTTTATACCCACATGTACAGTCATGTGCAAAAGTTTGGGTGCCCCTGGTCAAATGAATCAACAATTAATGTTTGCTGAATCTGGCTTGTGCATTGTATTTTATATTTCATGTCCATTAATACGACTGTAACTGATGTTAGTAACAAAAGCTACTTTGTTTTTTTCACGTACTTCGAGACGTATCAAAGAAAAGAACTCCTGTAATACAAATGCAGTTTATTACAAAATACAAGAAGCATCAAATACAGGAGCATAAAATATCTTTGCAACAGTTATAATGTTAAGTATATATATACTATACTATACTAGGACACCTACAAGCTCACATCACAAAATAACGACCCTTATAAGATACACATATGCTAGTCATTCAATCTTTCAACACAGCATCAAAGAAATGATAGTGATCAACAATCGACAACAACGATAGAAGACGTCTCATTCTACAGTACTGCTACAGTTCTCTGATAATGAGTGAAGTAAAAGAATAAAAAAAGTAAACCTTTATAAGACATATGCATCAAAAACAGTTAACCTGGATCTGCACATAATGAAAATAATGCTGTCCTGGTCTCTTATGCAAACACTTGTCTGAGTGAACAACTGAACTGAGTAATGATTGGTTCTTGAGTTCTATAGAGAAAAAGATGGTCAAAGTGTATTTATGTATTATCTGTAGATGCTCAACTTTGTTGAAACTCTATGACATTGGGTTTCGTTTAATGGGGAATGGCACTAATTCATCAGCATTCCTGTATAATTAAATGGTCAAGATGTAAATGAAGCCATTTAGTGGTTTTGAGCTTAAAATGTATTTTTTCAAAAACTATTGATGATGGAGAGGCACAAGCACGGTGTTGGAAGGCAAAACAGTCTCCAGATAAGGAATTGGAATCTGTAATTTTCTCCACAGTGAACCACTTCGCATCAAAACACCCACTGAATTATCCCGACAATCAGTGGGATTCCCCCTTGAGCAAATTATTCAATAGAATCTACATCAGGCCTAAAACCTCAGTCACATCTAAATTCACATTTAATTTAAAGTTAAAGGCAACGTGAGCATCTACAGATCAGCTACCGTGGACTCTCAACATAAAATCTTACCAAAATGTCTCCTTGCTGATGTCAGATAAAGAAAATCTGCATGGATTCCTAAGGTTCACGTGGAAAAGGCACTTTGGTTAGAAGGGAATGCTGAAATGACTACTCTGTTTCAATCTAAAAACAGCTCGAGGCACAGTAAACCGCTCTTTGTTGGAGTTTAGAGCAGGATTTAGACAAATTTAGACTTTAGCTCTTACATTGAAAGCAGCCCAAAGGAACAAGGCAGGTTGTGCTGTCTGCTGGATGATCTTAAATCAGAAAGAACAGGGAGTTTATGCTGTCAGGCAAATACAAATCTAATCCTAGATCCTAGATAATCCCCGTCTGCCGTATGACCTCAGGGCAGAAGGGGAACAGAAAGGTCACACTGTGCTGACCAAACAGAAAAGCGAGGCCATAGTGGCTGTAAATTAAGAAGCTGATCTGAACTCAGTGCCAAAGGGAACAGGGAGGTCATGCTGTCTGCTGTATAAAAAAGTGGTCCTAGATCAGACTGGCAAGAAGTGACTTGAAAGGAATATTCCAGTGTTTTTCAACCTGAACTCTATCTGCTGTATCTGTAGCATAAACTCGATTAGCACAGAGAAAAACTTTTTCCTGTTCGTTAAAAAAGAACAGAAAAGCCGCTGATTCGAAAAGCGCTTATAACGTAAGTCAATGGACAGGTGCTGAATTTTGTGAATAAACATGAAATATGTGATTATGTAACGTATTTTTAAACTACAAACATTACACTGTAACAATACAGCTGTTAACACCCAGTCACACTTGCATTTGCCAGTGAATTTTCACAAGTACAATACACTCATTTGAAAGAAATTCAATGTGATGAGCAGATTCATGTCACAGACTTCTGGGGTGCATAAATTTGCAAGCGAAATTCCACATCGAGTTTAACTTTGGTGAACTTTGGTGTGCAAATTTGCATCCACAACCAGTAGGTCTTGAAATGGGCACCTTGAATCCAAGGTTCTGTATTTTGTAATCTGGACTTAAACAAGAAGCATATAGAACATGGTGGAAGCATGGTGGTGGGAGTATCTGCCCCACTTACTGCTTAGGCTGCATTGGCCTTCATGCACAGTGTCACGCATCCCTCTGGCTCTGAGACACACTCAGACTCCATCTCCCAGAATCCTCTGGGAGATCACCTGACTCCAATGACTCCTGACCTTCCCTTACGCTCCAATCAGCGCTCTCCCTCACCGGAATACTAATACCTGTTCACCTGTAGTGTATATCATGTGATCTTCCTAGTTTAGTTTATAAGCCTGGGCTTTAGCATAGAATGGTTGTGAGGTATTGTATCGTTTCCGATCTACTGAGTGTTCCTTTGTTTGTTTGGCTACTGTTTATGAAAATTTTGTCAGTTTTTCTAAGTCTGCCTTTTTGCCTAACCCTTTGGATTGTTTGCCTTTTGTGATCTTCCAGTTTATGACCATTTTGCCTGTTTTCTGGACTTTGCCTTTTTGCCTGATCCTATGTTAGCTCCTTGGCTAAACACTGACGCTCACAGCACCCCACTGCGGCCAAACACGCCAGTTATCTACACTTCTTTGCCACATAACAGTGTGTACAACGCTGTATCTGGTATGTTATGCTACAGGTGCAGCACTGTACTCGCACAAATATATTATCTGCTACAATTATGTTTAATTTTATGTCATTGCTGTTTATGTTTAGCAAACAACATTTTTTTTTTTTTTGGAGCAAATCTTCTGGTCCAGTCTTGGCCATGCCCATTTCATAAGGTGATGCAAACTGCAAACATGTAGTGTGACTGCGGCTTTAGGTAGGTACTTATGAAGCTTTCTTAATCTTTCCAACACCGAATCAATGCAATGGAAAGTAGTTCCGGTTACTAACAAACCAGTACCATCTCTAAAAAAAATTCCTTCCACTGAAGGATTCATAAAAAGCAAGTTTCCCATAACTGACTGAAATCAACAGCTGCCCAGTGGCATCTACTTTTGGGTCAACGTGTTGTCGTTCTTTTATAAGAACAGGTAAACACATCTCTGTCTCTGGTGATCGACTATATACTACAGACACGGCAGATAGATGTCTGGTTGAAAAATGCTGGAAGTTTTCTTTAAAAAAACAAAGAGATTATTCAAAATCAGATACATCCAAAGCCTTCATGCCATTTCATTCTTCTCTGTGACGTTGGAGAGCTTTAGCCTGTCTTTCTCCTCTTGAGCCGCTGCTTCCACTCTGTCTCGGGCCTCTCCTTCCACATGGAAGCCCACCATCAGCTGGTACACCAGCACGCCCACCACCGCACCAAAGAATGGAGCGAAGATCGGCACGAAGAACCAGTAATCGTTAGCCCTGTGAAAGAGCAAACAGCCGAGAGTCCTAAATCCCATAGACAATTTAGTAAATTCGTTACTCTTCCAGGTGAGGATAAAGTCACCAAGCACTGTTACATGATGAATAGGTTACTCACGTGAAGACTTCACTCCCCCAGCCTGCGATCGCAGTAAAGATGCGAGGTCCCAGGTCCCTGGCAGGGTTGACGGCGTACCCTGAGTTGAAGCCCATTGACAAGCCGATCACCAACACTACAAAACCCACAGTGAAGGCTTCCAGCCCCCGTGGGATGGGGTTGTTGTAGGGGTCTACGATGGCCAGGATGCACACAATCAGAGCTGCTGTGCCAATCATCTGTGGAGTGATATTGGGTACAATGCTCTTTCAGAGTGTATATGGTAAGTATCAAAAGGTATATCTTGAGACAACTTCTCAAACAACTTACTGTCTGAGTCTTTATTGTGTATCGCAATCTATTTCCAGTCAAAATGTCAAGTAGGTGGAAGTTATTCATGGCTGTTTTGACTGGAAATGGCTGTTTTGACTTTTGGACAACACTGTAATAAGCAATATATAATTTTATATTGACATTGAAATCAATGTATTGGTGGTTCTTCTGCATCTTACTTGGTCGAAGAAGCCGTTGACCAGGCTGAGATGGTTGGAGGGGTACGTGGCAAAGATTCCAGCTGTGGCGTTCTCCCCCACCACAATCAGACTGCCCTTACGAAACTCCCACAGAGCATCTGGAATTACACATAATGCATTTTACACAAAAATCTCTTCACATGAAATGCCCACTTAAGCATTTAAGCTACATACAGGTACATTCTATGTGCAGAAGTATGTGGACACTTGACTATCACACCTATGTGAGCTTGTTGTACATCCCATTCCATTTATGGAACTCACTTTGTACACATGGGCTCACTCATGCTGGACCAAGAAAGGGTCGTCCCCAAACTGCTGACACAAAGTTGGAAGCAGATAACTGTGTAAAATGTCTTTATGCTGTAGCATCAACATCACCCTTCACTGGAACTGAGGGGCCTGAAAAACAGCCCCAGCTCATCATCCCTCCTCCACCAAACTTTACTGATGGTACTGTGCATTCCAGTAGGTAATGTTCTCCTGGCATCCACCAAACCCAGGTTCATCCATCAGACTGATGGATGAAGATAGAGAAGCATGAATTATCATTCCAGAGAACACGTTTCCACTGATCCAGAGTCCAGTGGTGGCACTTTACACTCCCCCAGCCGACACTTGGCATTGTACATAGTCATCTTAGGCTTGTGTGCAGCTTCTCATCCATGGAAACCCATTTCATGAAGCTGCTGATGCAGATTTCTTGTACTGATGTTGCTTTCAGAGGCAGTTTGGAGCTCTGTAGTGAGTGATGCAACAGATGACAGGCGGTTTTTATGCACTATGTGCTTCAGCACTTGGTGGCTCCACTCTGTGAGTTTTTATAGTCTGCTGCTTCCATTTCATAACAGCACTTACTTAAATTTCACTGACTTGTGGCAAAGGTGGCATCCTATGACAGAGGCATGTTTAGGGTTGTTTTTTTTTTTTTACCCACTACAAGCCGTTTACCATTCCTGCTTTTCTGATTTCTTATAATGTGTAATCTTCAAACTTCTCCATCATGCAACTCACCAAAATACATGCCAAATATGATCCCTGATCCGAGGAAGGCTCCTATTGTCTGGAACAGAAAGTACACAGGAAACTTCTTCCATGGCTCTCGACCCAGCATGCAAAGAGCAAATGTCACGGTTGGGTTCAGGTGGCCACCTACAGAAATCAGAGGAGATTTTGAACAGTATAAACATCACCTTCAAATTTTTATCTTATGCGCTACATGATGTGTGGAGCGTGTCTGGACACAGTCTGCTTTGTTCCTCACAGAGCATTCAGTTATCTGACAAATATCTCTCTCTCCATCATCATTATGTCTTTTTTATGCTACTTAATAAAGGCTAAAGTGGAGGGGCTTAGTATAATATCGGCATTAAAGAATGACATTTATCAGCGCTCTAAGCACTACTTAGGTGAACTCTAAAGTGGTCCCTGGGGCAACGTAAACTCTCCAAACAAGGCTTTGGAAGGTTCAGCTAACATTACCGTGTGCCTCACTGTTGCAAACTCAAAATGCACAGGCTACATGCGCATCATTTAGCAATGCATATCATTACATACAGAGGTGAAGCCAGAGTGAGCAAATTACATTATGGATATGCTTAGTGACTGGAAGATTAAACATCTCAAACACAAAATCAACAAAATAATAATATTAAAGTAAAAAGAGCTTTTGTATAAGAATCTGTATTGGTATCGGCAATTATGTATCGGGATCGGATCGGATCTGAAAAAATGTAGATGGACCCATCATTATTTATTTTATGTCTTGAAATGTTTGGACAAGACACTACACACTATATAATTTCTGGTCGTTATTAAACAAAAAAGTAGTTTAACATTCTGCGCTACACTGTAGAGGTCTGTGCCGGACCGTTTTTTCAGTCCCGCTCCCATCCTCATTTTTCCCCAAAATTGGAATCATTAGTCCGGCTCCTGCCTGGAACTGAAATGATTTGTCCCACTCCCACCCATGCAGTTCCGTAAGGGTGAACTGACATCCAGTATCTGACTAGTCTATTCACAAATACATTATCCTCTGCTGAAATAACACGGCAGTCATGGTGATCAGGCTCACTGTGAGTAACTTCAACAAACGCCATTTATTCCCAGTAAACACAAAGCAGGAATTAAACCACAGAGCGGTTATTTTTGGTGTTTTGCTCGGCAGCTCCAGACGTTGGACTGAAGACTCCACCATCTCTCTAATGCCTATTCACACATGCTGCCTCTGCGTAGCGTCAGTGATGCGGCAGCGCAAGTGCTACAGTTGGAATGTGCTGGCCTTTCATACGTGCAGCGGTTGAGCTGTGGAGCAGAGCAGCGAGACAGTTATACAAACATTCCGTTTTCCAGAAGGATAAATGGTCACATCAGTCACTCGGCTCAACAAAAATAGAATTTATAAATGTACACAGTATGTTTGTTTATCCTCGACAGCATTCTGACTTGTGAATTTAAAGCCTGGTGGACCACCCGGGAAATCTGTTTGCAGCGTAGAATGTTTAACTACTATTTCATCATGAATTACATTAAAAAAGTTTTCATACAGTTTTCTGTTTAATTTCCATTTATTTTCATGGCTTATTTCAGAGTGATGGTCTATTCTCTAAACACCATGGCGCTTCAGTGCGGCCTCTGGGACTCTGCCACAGCCTGTGTGAAAGCGCTGACCACTTAACATGGCCGCCGAAACGAAAAGCAAGACTTGCCGCGTTGCTCACGCCACGCAGAAGCAGTATGTGTGAATCACGCCTATGAGAATTTGTGTGTTGTTCATGTGGCTGATTGCTTAAGAAAGACTTGTTTTACTGTTATCATTTCATATTGTATATATGTATATATATATATATATATATATATATATATATATATATATATATATGATTTAGTTCTATATATGATTGTTCTACTTTATTTAGGCTACTCATTAATTAGCGGGATTTCTCTTCATGCGTGCTTCTGCCTCTTCCCACCTGCAGTGGGCTGGTTTTCCACCTGCTCCCACAAGCGACACTGAAAATTAGCCCCGCAGCCCCGTGACAGGTCCTGCAGCAATAGTGCAGACCTCTACTACACAGGCGTTTTTTGGAAAGTTTAGACTTGAAGCGACGGCCCAATCACAAGTTGAAACTACGGAGGGTAAACAAATCTATGTGCTTTTAGCACCATCTTCTTTACCATTTGCAGCAAAATGGACAACACAAGACTGATGTCTGTAGATCTTTGTGATCTTTGATCTTTGTTGTGATTTCCAGTATGTGGGTCTACAGAACAGCTCCGCAGTGCAGACGCTGTGTAGGAACGGCCGTGATATGTGAGCTGTAGGAGTCACTGCTGCATCCCCTCGTGTCACGCAGAGGTAGTCAGTGTGGCGGAATGGAGCAATACTGGAGCGATTTCGGAGCAAGATTGTTGTTTTTTTATAACTGTAACTGTATTCTGAATACGTATTCCCAATAATTGCATTCCATTACATCCCACCCCTGGGTGTCGCGCATATTAGCACCTAGTTTTCTGAATCTGGCCTGCTGTGTATAATGTAATTACATCAATTCTTCCTTTTAACTTTCTCATTGTGGCCGTTTTTCTGTGCTACGGTGCAGGAGGATAGTTATCTCCCATTTGAAGCACTTTATGACATTCAGACAGCACTGGCAGCGAAAGGAGGATCTGTAAGAATGGCCTAATAACGACGCTTGTCTTTTAAGCCCCTTTCATAAAGCGGCTAATGATACAGCTCCAGACAGCACACCTCTCTCCCTGCCCCTTTCTGTCTTACTTCATTTCCCTGCGCTTTTGAGGTTTAATTCAAAGCAAGTGCGTGGATCCCACTTCGGCAGCAGAGCCGTTTGCGTCAGTCTTCAGGCCAACGCATGCCGGCCTGCATGAACGTAGAGATCAAAACTGACTTAACACATTTATTATCTCAACTATTTACACAGCGTACAGCCTTACCAGAGACTTGCCCACAGACCAGGATCCCCAGCATGGCAGCAAAACCGAACGCAAAGTTCACCGTCAGGAATAGTCCATGAGATCCCTCACTGAGAACCAACTGGGCAACCGCTCCGCAACCAAACATCTGCAGCAGAGAGATGGTGGGAAGGCAGGAATATGTGAAGAGCACTGATCCAGTAAATATTAGAATCATTTTCATGCAATTTTTCACGCAAAAGGATGCTAAAAACAGTAGTAGCAGCCATCATGAAGCCTGAATTTTGTGTGTACTGTTGTCATACATGTTTGGAAACCACTTCAAGTCTTATTTAAAGCTGCACTGTGTGAGTTTTGCGCCCTCTCTGGTGAAATTGTGTGATTGCATTACTCCTGTCCTCTTCTCCGAGTGGATGAATCTGGTTAATATGGTCGAAAGAGTATCGTCCCCGTGTTGCCGTGGGGAGCTTAGGGGGTGTGGCCATGCAAAGTGGCTCCACGCTCTCCGTTGAAAAAGGGGCAGTACCTGCGAAGTCGTTCTTTTTGTTGTGGTTGCTGATGTTGTGTGAATGTGTAGCATTCGGGTGTTTAATTGTAATCATGGAGGGGGTGGGCTTTATGTGTGAGTGTGTCCACCCTCCATATGTTGTGTCCCCCAGCTTTAGGGTAGCTCTGGGTTGGCCATTTCTGGTCTTTGTAAAGACTCGCTGTTGCCTGTATACGCAATGCTTTCCACATCTTCTTCTGCACTGAGGCTGCAGAAGTCAAAGAGAACTCAGTCAAAACTTGGTGAAGGATGTGTCTTCTGAGTGAGTTATCTACTATTGTCATTATATCTTAATTGGTATAGGGTTGCTTTTTAAGTTGAGACCTAAACATTGAGCCAAAATCACATGCACACCATATAGATTTTGTTTTGGGCTTTTGAGTCAGTAAAAAAGTACATAGTGCAGCTTTAAAGTAATGATTTACTGAAAATTTTAATTTTGCAATTATAACTTCCACCCTCGGACCACCCAGATTATTGCCCTGCAAGTTCTAACTTGTTTTTAATCTCCTCAAACTGATTTTAAATGCACAGAGACTTTTATAAAAAATAAACTTTTATTACAAACTTTTATTACAAATATTACAAACAACTGAGAGAGAAAAAAATAATGACTAGGGCTGATATAAAATGATTTCACAGAAGATGTTGTTACTGACACTGTGATAGATTAAAATGATTTACTAAACAAATTTACAAAGTATAAATAAAGAAAAGAAGGAAGGAAAAATAAGTAAAGTGGACTGTGAGTGATAAGTGAGTGAGAATAAGTTGAATTTTGTCTAATATGCCGTTTAACAACCGGTGGACTGCCCAGAAAATGCTGAGCAAAACGCCAGTGGGCTGCCAGCTTTACCATCAGTGGTCCGACAGTGGTCCACTATCCTCTTGCTATCAGGGACGTGAATTCAGTTGATCAAGAGAATTCCAGGTGTGGTGCTGGTTTAGCCGGGACACGTTCAATCCCAAAGCATTGTGCAGCGTTTTGCTACGGTTTCTAGGTTCAACAACATCGGTGTGAAATGGTGTGCAGCAAGCTTTGAGGTACATTTTTTCTCATTTGATGGGTGTGTCAGACATGTTAACCAATCAGCAGCAATGTGTATATAAAGCCAGGTGTATTAAAAAGGCAGTGCACACAATGGATTCTAATAAAGTCCTCTACAAATGCAGCCGCTGCAGCTTGGTTTACGCAACAGTTAAAGATGTTAGAAGACATATTTGTCATGAATGGCCTTCTCAGCTGCCATGGTTGCAATGCTTGCTTAATAAAACAGTGTTCCCTGCTCACCCAGCATAATCTTGTAGACCAGCATAGCAACTTCCAAAGCACAACACATGCTAGTTTTGCAGTGCTAGTCTATGCTGTGTTTAGCAGAAAATAAATGTTTTTAATTGAAGATAAATCATACAACCCCTTGTAACGTCTCTTTTATACACGGTATGTGTTTTGTAATGTGTTGCATACACACAACCCCTCATATATAGGGATATCCAAAAGGTTAATCTGATTTCAAAGCGCCATATTTTTACAACTGTGAGGCGTCTAGGAACCAATCACAATCCAATTGAAAGAGGGGGTCATAGAGTTTCTGACGGTCAGTGGAAGATGGCTCCCCTCAGTCTGAGAGGAGATTCGACCCCTGATCAGAAAGCGTTCTGCGTTCTCCACTTCAATAAGAGTGAATCCGTCATAACTGTGCAGTGTGATTTTCGTGGGCAGTGAAGCTCCAACAGCTCAGAGCGTTCGTCGTTGGTTCCACAACACTGGATGATCTCCGAAATCGCACTGAAAGAGCCGTGAGTGCAGCGACACCCGACATGCTCAATCCAGTATGGGATGAGTTTGACTATGGCGTTGATGTTGTCTGTACAGCTGGAGGAGGTTCATACTGAGACCTTGTAAAATTACATAATAAACTTTATGCTCATTTAAGCCATTTACAGTTTACTGCATTGATCTGTAATGATTTACAAGTGAAATAAATCATTTTGAAATTGGGTGAATCTGGTCTGTGAGCACGCCGGAAGTTTGCATTGTTATTTTGACTTTTCTGCAACATGTTCATTGTCAAACTTCTAAGAGCGGAGAGAGTCATTACGGAAGATTTCACTCGCATAGCATGGGTCAGATGCCAGTGGCCAGTCCAGGATGTCACTGCTTAATGGGGAAGCTCGTTACTTTGCTCAGCTTCCAAACAGGAATGATATGGTATTAACAAGGGAGCTCGGAGCGGTCTGAACCCCACGTTGGACTAACAAGCATTCCGTAACAGGGACACGGAATCTGAGGCAATACTTACATGCCCCTCTAAAAATAGAACTATTGCTATGAACAAAGCAGCGTCTCCACTGAAGACTGTGATCGGTGGTCACATCGCTGAAAGAGATGGCAGAAAATCCCATTTTCGTTTCTATAGCGATTCCTATAGTGATCCAGTATTTTGCTGTTTAAACTTACTTCATAAAATGAGCTATTTTGGCCTCCGAGTTTGGCCTCGGACTCAGTGTCGCTGCTGGACTGAGAACCAGAAATATCCAGCCAACAGTGTCCTGTGGGAAGCGTCCTGTGACCACTAATGAAGGACTAGAGGATGACCAACTCAAACTGTGCAGCAGCAGATGAGCTATCGTCTCTGACTTTACATCTACAAGGTGGACCGACAAGGTAGGAGTGTCTAATAGAGTGGACAGTGAGTGGACACAGTGTTTAAAAACTGCAGCAGCACTGCTGTGTCTGATCCACTCGCACCAGCACAACACACACTGACGCACCACCACCATGTCGGTGTCACTGCAGTGCTGTGAATGATCCACCACCCAAAAAGTACCTGCTCTGTGAGGGTCCATGGGGGTCCTGACCACTGAAGAACAGGGTAACAAAGTATGCAGTAACTGTAGAACTACAGAGTGAAACTATATGGTCAGTGGAGCTGATAAAATGGACAATGAGTGTAGATACAAGGAGGGGTACTTAATAAAGTGACCAGTCAGTGTGTGTATAGACAGAGAAAGTAGCTCTGATACCAACACTGGCTTCAGTTTATAATGTAACGATGGCATCCAGTCGGTCAGAACAGCCGGTCTATTTATTGCAAATCCAGACTGAGAGCTCTCAAATAACACACGCACCTCTCAAGGTCAAAAGTTTGAAGAGGCCTTGGATATAAAGACGGCAGGTAGAAATAAAAATAAAAACAGGACTGTAATATGGCTCTGCAGCCTGATGTCTCAGGACAGGAAATGTTTGCTATTTACAGAGCCACGCTTGGCTTAGTGTACCTGCTTCTGCCCGTGAGCAGCGGTCAAGGAATGTGAAGTATTATGCACACCATGTGCTGGATATAGTGTTTGTGTGTGTACCTGTTCTACCCCTTGCAATGTTATGCTCCCCAGCTAAGCTGAGTAATAAGGCCAAACTTGTGGGCCAAACACTGGGACCAAAAACAACAGGGGCTGAGAGAAGCACTGTTTCTCCACAGATACTGATCTGATCTGAGTCTGATCTGTGCTTTCTTTAAGAACAATGAAGGTAGTTCCGGCTATCCTGTCTAATGATGCTGCTTGTGTTAGCCACCATCTAGCACTGACCACTGAGCCGCTCTTAGCTGTTAATCACTGGCCCTGTAGTCAGAAACTGAACAATGATGAATGAGGTAGAGGGGGCTGATAAACTGTACAGCAAAAGATGGACTACAGTCTATAACTGTTCACCTATAAGGTAGGTGTTTCTAATAAAGTGGCCAGTGAACAAACATACAAGGTGAGTGTTGCTAATAAAGTGGCCATGAATGAAAGTACAAGGCAGGTGTTTCTAATAAGGTGGCCAGTGAGTGGAAGAACAAGGTGGGTGTTTCCAATAAAGTGGCCAGTGAGTGAATGAACAAAGTAGGTGTTTCTAATAAAGTGGCCAGTGATTGAACGTACAAGGTGGACGTTTTCAATAAAGTGGCCAGTGAGTAGAGGTACAAGGTTGGTGTTTCTAATAAAGTGTCCAGTGAGTGGAAGTATGTGGAAAAGTGGTTTTAATACCATTATTATCAGAAATAACGCTGGATCAGCAGGTGCCTACAAACTTCTGGACGTATAATGTATTTCAGCAGTAAGTGCTTCATACCGTTTTTACTTATTTATGTTTATTGATAATTAAACAGAACATCTGGCTCACACCTCCTCTTTTGTCAGAAACAGATTTTCAACTCAGTCCTAAATATAGTAGAGTTTCATCATCATGTTTAATCCAAAGTGGAAATGAATAGTTTATCTCCCTGTGGTCCGCCGGCAGAGGAGCAAACAGTTTGAATAATTCATCACAAAATCATTTGTTTCAAGATCATTAACATGTTACAGTTTTGTTTTTTGAGGTGGAATAATGAGTGTGTTTTCAAGTCATTTATATCGTATTACGTTTTTTTTGCTCTCTACAGCAATAACAACAACGCCCTGAAAAAGAGACAAACACCCACACATATCTGACACCAATTCTGCAGCATTGTATTAATAACTGTTTGCCAATTCTGTCCTAACAGCTTCGTATTCCTGAAGGTCGTAGCTTTTGACACTTTTTAGTGTTGACTTAATGAAAACAACTGTGAAGAGTA